GGTTCATTCATGTTGTATATATCAGTATTTAATTCCTTTTAATGGCTTAGTATTCCAGTGTGTGAATATACCACACTTTGCTTATTCTTTCATCAGTGAATGGACATTTAGATTGTTCACAGTTTGATTATTAAAACTAATGCTACAATGAATATTCATGAACAAGTTATTGTGTGAACATATGTTTTAGTTCTTTTGGGTATACAGCTAGGTACAGAATTGGTGGGTTCATCTGGTAACTATCTTTTTGAGAAACTCAAACTCTTTTCCCTAGGTTGGTAGTTTTCCATGATTTTTGTTTACTACAATGTGAAAAGTTCAGTAGCGATTACTTTCCTTAGGAGATCAAGGCTGATAACACCAGTGGTAAGCTATAGTAACATCACAAACTAAATGAGAACACAGATCATTTCTGTGGTGTTTATCTCAAGGCTTCCTCACCTCAGTTTAAACATGGAAGACACCAGGCAGTCCTGAAGGACTAAGGAATAATCAGTATTCTTGGAGGGTCTCAGGGTCATGAGAGATAAGGGAAAACTGTAGAACTTTGCAGACTACAGGAGACTAGGGAGAAATAACAACCCATGGCCATATGGAACATAAAAGGACATTAGTTGAAACACTGGTTGGGTTTGGAAAGGATCTTTGGTTAATGGTATTGTTAATTTCCCAGTTCTAATAATTGCCTATGACTATGAAAGATATAACATTGGGAAAGTCTGTGTGAGGGACATGTAGAATCTTTCTCGGTAGTTTTCTTGTAACTTTTATGTAAATTTAAAGGTAGCTCAAAGTTAAAAGTAGTAAAAAGTTAAAAATAGTCTCATATTTTATCGCACTCACATGTCTGTAGATGAGCCAGACTTGGCTTACCATGGCTCGGCTCTGTACCAATCTGCGCTTTGGGTCCAGTTCCATGGGTGTCTCATTCTTTTTGGACCACAAGACTAGTGTACTTCTCATGATAATGGCAGAATTCCAGGAGATGAGCAAAACATGCAAGCACATTTTGAATCTCTGTGGCACATTTGCTAAATTCCTACTAGTCAGAGCACATCTTAAGCCAAGTTCAAGGGGTGGGCAAATACCCTCCTCCAGCAGCAGTAGTGGTGGTAGCAGCAGCAGCAACAGGCAGCAATAGGCAGCAAAGGCTGTAGATACAGGCAGGAGGGAAGAAAATTGGTCAAAATAAAACAATCTACCACAGATTATTTCCATCCTGGGAAAAGTAGAAGTTGTTTCCTAGGACTTGGTCTGTAATTGAAGTCAGTGACAGAGAGACCCAGTGGCAGTCAAAACTCAAGTATGAAGTGGCCTTGACTAATTTGAACAGGATTTATACTTAATATGGACAGAGTTTCCTCAGGCTGGAGACTGTCCTCAGGGAACTAATGGTAAGGAAACAAACACTGTAGGCTTCACAGTCCTGTTTGCCTTTCTGGATCTCTGTCTCATTTTCTGCCTGTCTCCTTGCCCTTCCCCTAATTTATAACTCTTCACCTGCTTGTGTCTTTGGTTTTTTGCCTCTGCTCTATTCTTCCACAATGTTTTGGTTCCTTCTCCTCCTCGCAGAAACCTTAGAAGGATGCAGGTCAGAGCACACACTCTAACTTGGCCTTTTTCCAATGGGGTGGAAACCTTTGAAATACTGTATTTTCTGCTGCCTCTGCTGCTGCTCCTGCCATGGTGGTTTCGTGTATTTTAAATGAGCGTAACCTGTATTTTAAGTTAATGCTATTGTGGTTGCTCTTGCACCCTGTGGTGGCTTATGTGAAGGGAGTAATTTTGGAATTTTCCCCAAATAAAATAAGTTGATTCACAAACGATCCCAGTCTCTTCCTTGGCTAGCTTAGCATGGTACAACCTGTTGTGTTCTGAAAGTTATGAAGTCTAACTTTGGTCAAGATACTATTATTATTGCTAGTAGTAGTATTACTTCTAAAGATAGATATTAACATGACTGCTAATTATGAATCTGCTTGCTCTAATAAATATCCTTGTTGGCCTTTCTACACCTCTCTAGATCAATTCGGATTTTATTTCAATTTTATTTTCACTTAGCAAATAATTGTTGGGCATTTACTCTATGATAAGTCATGTGATAGATCTTGGGGATAAACTAGCATTTTTGTTAGCCAGAAAAGTAAGAATATTAAAATATATTTACTAATTATTGTAAGTGCTGTAAAGAAAAGGTTTTTGGTGTTGTAAAAACCTTTATGGGCAACCAGATCTCAAGTGAGGAATTAGCAGAAGTAACCCTTAGTTGAGATTGGAAGGATGTGGAGAGGGAGGCTGAGGTTGGAAAGAACATTCTGGGCAAGGGGAATAGCAGGTGGAATGACTTTTTGGTAGGAAGGCACACAGTTCTTTCATGGAGTGGAAAATGCCAGTGTGGTTTAGAGCATGGGATTGAAGAATGGACAACACTGAAGAGATAAACAGGGTCTAGATTCTAATGAGCCTCATTGGCCAGTGTGAGGATTTTCATTTTGATTCTAATCACAATATGAAGCCATTAAAAGGTTTGAAGCATGAGGAATGACAGTCAGATTTATATTTGGGGGAGCGGGGAATTCATTGTAAAGAACAGTTGAACTGGTGGATAAGAATAGATGAGGAGGCCAGTTTGGAAGGTTGTGGCACTGTCCAGAGAGAGATGGTGATGGTTCAGACAAGAGCCGTGTTGAGGAGGAGAGAGGGAAGAGTATGAATTCAGGAAAAATGTAACAGTGGAAATCAAAAGCTTTTAGAGACAGATTGGGTATGGGCCGGCCATGTAGAGGAAAATATCAAGGATGACCAGCTCTTAGCATTCAGCCAAGAAGCTACTGTATTGTTTTATTATTATTTCTCCAGGTAAAACAGCCTTTCCCCTGATTCATACGGTTAGATATAAAATTTCTGCTAAAAAACTTACCTCTTTGCTTCATGATCATAGGAATAGATGTTGCTAGTTCTTTGTCATTCTTGCCAATATTTGGCCTCATTTCCTCCCAGAATCAAATTTCTCAGCCACCAGCTCTCTTTTCTTATTCCATCCTGGGCTTCTGATGATGCGCTAAGCTAACAACCTCCACAACCCATCTAGTCCTTCTGACTTTGCTTCTCCAGCAGCAGCCTGTCAGTTTCTGTGTCTGATCCTACCCATGCCAGGCTCATCTATTTAGGACTCCCTTTCTTCTCAATCAGGTTCTTCAGTTTTCTGCCTCATTTAACCCTCAATCTTATTCAGGAACTGCTCCCCACCCCCAAGGTTTCCTCACTCTGCTCTGGACATATATATATATTTTTAAATCATTGGAGCATTTGGAATGAGCTTGGGGCTAGAAAGTGGATCATTATGCACATACACTCTGGTGTACTTCTCATTTATTTATTTATTTATTTATTTATTAAAATTTGGAGCCTGAAACATTTGTGTTTATTTATTTATAAGCATTTATTTATTTATTTATTTATACAAGCACTGGGCACAGTCAGAAGCACGGGAGGGTGAGAGAATTCACCAGAGTGGGGAGCAGAGCAGGCAGAAGGACCGAAGTACACTGCTGAGGGGAGCAGCAGGCGGCAGGAGAGGTCTGTGTGCCATGCGGGACCCTCCTCCGGTGGCCGGGGAGCAGCTGGGGATCGAACCAACGTCGCAGAGGCTTCGGGCAGCCCCAGAACCCAGCGCTCAACCGCTGCGCCACTGGGGAGGCCCACTTCTCATTTATTTTTTTAGCCAGATACAGAAACGCCCTGTCAAAGCGGGCTGGCAGGAATAGAATGGCATGTCTTGGCATGGACTTCCCCTGGCAGCTTGATTCTCTGGTGGAGGTACAGTGGTTGGTGGAAGGTGGAATTCACAATGGTCCTTCCACAATTGAGAAAATCTGAGTTCTTACACCATAATTACTGTTTCATGCTCGAGATTTGTCTGATTGTCTGAAAGCACTTGTGCTATGTGCTACCCTAAAAGGAATTTTTTTTTTTTTCAGATTGTCATCCTTTCTTGGTTCTTGAATCAAGCTCCTCAGTATCAGCAAGGTGTTGCCATCCTCTGGCAGGAGAAAGCAGAGTCAGAGTTGAGGTGTCAGAGCAGCTTCTCTGCTTTAAATTATCAATCTCCTGAAGAGCTCTTTCCTGAAATTCTCTATCCCCGTTGCCATGAGTATTCCTCTTTGTATTCCTAGTACATACCACAGTGGCCTTGTATATAGTAGTTGCTTAGTAAATATCAATTGCATGAATGAATGAATGTAACATTCCATTGTAGCATGTGATCAGCTCTTCTGAGTTAGCTAGGAATAGGTTTTGGTTTCTCTCTGGTTCTGATTCCCTGCTTCCTTCATTTGCTATGTTTTCCTGCCTTCCAGCCTCTTCCTTTTTCCTTGTCCCATCTCATAAATGTTAAATGCCACAAATTTTATGTGTTAAGGGATGGCATATGACTGGGGTAACAAGAAAGAGGTAATACAGCACCTGTACTGAGAGAGGGTAGAGCCTCATAGAAAGAGTTTGATTAACTAGCTAAGGGTTTTAGAGTATAAACTTACTGGAATAACAATTTGGAGTTCTGTGGATTTCAGGGGAGGGGATGGAAAAGTGTCATAGTGGAGGCAGTAATGTGATCATGTCCCGAAGGGTGAGTAGATAGTCACCATTCATCTGCACACACCAAAAGGTTTATTGTAGCTTAATTTAAACAAAAGAACTTAAATATGCAGCTTCGAACTAAGGAACTCTGGACTCTAGAATGAAGTGCATGTACCTTTGTATACCTTCTCCCATTCCCTTATTTGATATGATTTAGAAATGGAGTATACGTGAGTGGTGAGTGTGTAAGAGAGAGGGATGGATTCAGGTAACTGAACACAGCAGACTTCATGAACTGGCCTTCATGAACTAATAAGTTCTGTTGACTTGTTACCAACCATTCTATCGTAGTGTCCCAAGGAGGACCTTATACCTCATGAGTGTATACCTTATACCTTACACCTCTCTCTTCTCTGCTTTAGGTCAGGCTGTCCCTGCAGGATCTCATGTGCGGCTAAATCTCCAGACTGGGGCAAGAGAAGTGAAACTCCAATATGAAGACAAGTTCCAAAACAATTTGAAAGGCTCAAGAAAAGGAAGAAGGTACAGTATCAACCCTGGGGACCAGGAGGCTAAGTGACAGCTTTAATATTTTTTAATTCTAAAATAATGACAGTGTAGTGTTTCTTATCCCAATTCACATGCCTTTTTAAAAAATTTGAAAGTGAATAGCCTAGAATTTGTAATAAATCTGTCAGGGTTTTATGGAAGTTTACTACTGTAGTCTTTGGAAAGAAATAGTTTGCAAAGCAAATTGATACTTTAAAAAAAGGCTGTAGGGGGATGCTTAACCTGCTTTAAAAATGAAGCTCTTTTCCCCAGTACTTTAAGAGCACCCATTTGAATCCCAACAATTAATGCACTGATTACAGATGAGTCATCTATTCATTAAAACATGCCTGTTAGGCCTTCTGCTTTGCAGTAATACTTCCTTAGTGAACAATAAAATTGCATTTTAAAGTCTTTAATTCAGAGTAACTTTTCCTCTTGTTAGTCCATATTTATTCTAGTGTAAAAGTCCTTCATTGGTTAGAGGTTGCCTTATTTTTTTAATGACCAGTTTATTTGATTTTGGACAATTTATAGTCCCTATATTTCTGTCCTTTGCTTTGAATTACAAATATTTCTGCTATTGCCTGCATGAAGGAGGAGGTTGAGGTATGAGTTTGCAGGGTCTGTTAGAGTTGTGCAATTTGAATGGTCAGTATAAATACCAGCCACAAAGTTTCTAACACAGGCACCAACAAATTAGGGTCTGTGGGTCATCCTGGGACTGCTGCCTGTTTTTGAATGACCTACAAAAGTTAACATTTTTTTAATGGCTGGAAACAAAGCAAAAAAATAATATTTCATGACTTTTGAAAATTACATGAAAATAAAATTTCAGTGCCCATAAAGTTTTTTTTAATATTTTATTTTATATAATTCTTAACATCAATTTTCATTTTTGCACAATGTATGCATTTTCATTTTGGTTATATTCCCCATGCAATTGCACTCCCTTATTTTGACCCTAATCATTCCTCTCCTCCTTGCCCCCTGTAGTGTGTCTCTGGTTTATAGTTGCTTGTTGATTTTGATTTTTTTCTTTATTATAGTTAGTCTTTTTCCTGGTCCCTTATTTAGGTTTTCTAAATTCCTGCTATGAGTGAGACCATTGGTATTTTTCTTTTTCTTTCTGGTTTATTTCGCTGAGCATGATCCCTTCCAGCTCCATCCATGTTGCTGCAAATTGCATGAGTTTATCTTTTTTGATTGCTAAGTAATATTCCATTGTGTATATATACCACATCTTCTTGATCCAGTCATCTATCTTTGGGCATTTGGGTTGTTTCCATAGCTTAGTTATTGTAAATAGTGCTGCTATAATCATAGGAGTGCAGGTGCCCTTTTGAATTAATGTTTCTGTGTCATTTGGGTAAATACCTAGGAGTGGAATTGCTAGATCATATGGAAGCTCTATCTTTAGTCGGTTGAGGAATCTCCACATAGCTTTCCATAGTGGTTAGACCAGTTTGCACTCCCACCCAGCAGTGCAGGAGAGCTCCTTTTTCTCCACATCTTCACCAACATTTATTGTTGTTAGTTTTTTAAATATGTGCCATTCTCACTGGTGTGAGATGGTATCTCATTGTCGTTTTGATTTGCTTTTCCCTGATTGCAAGTGATGTTGACCATTTTTTTCATATGCCTGTTGGCCATTTGCATTGCCTCTTTGGAAAGTTTCTTTTTAGCTCTTCTGCTCATTTTTTGACTGGATTATTTGTTTTTGTTGAGTCTCATCAGCTGTTTGTAGATTTTTGTGATCAGTCCTTTATCATTAGTATTATGCCCAAAAATTTTTTCCCAGTTGGTGGGGTTTCTCTTTGTTTTGGTTATTGTCTCTTTTGCTGTGCAGAAGCGTTTTAATTTGATGTAGTCCCAGCTGTTTATCTTTGCCTTCACTATCACTGCTTTGGGTGATGTTTCTGTAAAGATGTGCATGTCATGTAGTGTTTCGCCTATATTTCCTTTTATGTATTTTATGGTTTCAGATCTTAAGTCTAGTTCTTTAATCCATTTTGAGTTGGTTTTTGTGCATGGTGTGAGGTAGTAGTCAAGCTTCATTCTTTTGCATGTAGCGACCCAGTTTTCCCAGCACCATTTATTGAACAAACTTTCTTTGCTCCATTGCATAGTCTTTGCTCCTTTGTCAAAGATTAGTTGACCGTAAATCTGTGGGTTTATTTCTGGATTTTCTATTTGGGCCCATTGTTCGTGTGTCTGTTCTTGTTCCAATAGCATGCAGTTCTGATTCTTACGGCTTTGTAGTATAGTTTGAAATCTGGGAGTGTGATACCTCCCTTCTTTTTTTTTTTTTTCAGGAGGGCTTTGGCTATTCGGGGTTTTTGGTGGCTCCATATGAATTTCATCAATAATTGTTCTATTTCTTTGAAGAATGTCATTGAAATTTTTATTGGAAGAGCACTGAATCTGTAAATTGCTTTTGGTAGGATGGCCATTTTGATAACGTTAGTTCTTCCAATCCATGATCAGGGGATGTCTTTCCCTTTCTTTGTGTCTTCTATTTCTTTTAACAGTGTTTTATAGTTTTCTTTGTATAGGTCCTTTACCTCTTTTGTTAGGTTTATTCCCAAGTATTTGATTTTTTTGTTTCAATAATAAAAGGGATGGTTTTCTTGATTTCTTCTTCTTCAGATTTATTGTTTGTGTATAGGAAGGCTACTGATTTTTGTGTGTTAATTTTGTATCCTGCCCCTTTACTAAACCGATTGATTAGTTTAATTAGCTTTTCTGTGGCGTTTTTGGGGTTCTCTGTATATTATCATATCATCTGCAAATATTGATAGCTTGACTTCTTCCTTTCCTATTTGGATTCCTTGTATGTCTTTCTCTTGTCTTATTGCTCTAGCTAGGACGTCCAGTATTATATTGAAAAGCAGTGGTGAGAGTGGACATCCTTGTCTTGTTCCAGATCTTAATGGAAATGCTTTCAGCTTTTCGCCATTGAGAATGATATTGGCCGTGGGCTTGTCATAGATGGCCTTTATGATGTTGAGGTATGTTCCTTGTATCCCAAGAATTTCAAGGGCCTAATCATACATGGGTGCTGTACTTTGTCGAAAGCTTTCTCAGCATCTGTTGATATTATCATATGGTTTTTATATTTCTTTTTGTTGTATTGGATTACATTGATTGATTTTCGGATGCTGAATCATCCTTGTGTCCCTGAATAAATCCTACTTGGTCATGGTGAATTATTTTATGGATACATTGTTGGATTCTAATAGCTAAAATTTTACTGAGGATTTTTGCATCAATGTTCATTGGAGAGATTGGCCTATAGGTTTTTTTTGTGTGTGTGTGTGTTGTCCTTGTTTGGTTTTGGTGTTAGTGTAATGTTGGCTTCATAGAACATAGTTGGTATTATCCCTTCCTTCTCAGTTTTTTGAAAGAGTTTGTGAAGGATAGACACTAATTTGCTTCTGAATGTTTGGTAGAATTCATTTGTAAATCCATCAGGTCCTGGGCTTTTGTTTTTGGGAAGGGTTTTGATTACCATTTCAATTTCGCTGCTTGTAATTGATCTCTTAAGGTGTTCTATGTCTTTATCTAGCTTTGGGTAATTGTAGAGTTGTAGGGATTTGTTCATCTCTTCTAGATAGTTGAGCTTGTTTGCATATAGCTATTCATAGTAGTTTCTGGTTATTCTTTTGATTTTTGCTGTGTCTGTTGTGATTTCTCCTCTTTCATTTGTGATCCTATTTATTTGTGATTTCTCCCATTTTTCCTTTGTGAGCCTGGCTAGGGGTTTGTGTATTTTATTTATTTTTTCAAAGAACCACCTTTTCGTTTTGTTGATCTTTTGGATTGTTTTTTTTTAGTTTCTATTTCATTTATTTCTGCTTTGATTTGTATTATTTCTTTTCTTCTCCTGGTTTTGGGGTTTTTTCCTTGTGCTTTTTCTAGTTCTTTGAGCTTTGAGATTAGGGTGTTTCTTCGAGTTCTTTCTTGTTTCTTGATGTGAGCCTGTATTGCTATATATTTTCCTCTTATTGTTTTTGCTGCATCCCATACATTTAGGAAATTGGTGTCCTCCTTGTTGTTCATCTCAAAGTATTTTTTAATTTCTTCTTTGATCTCCTCATTAGTCCAGTGGTCTTCCTGTACTGTGGGTTTCAATCTCCATGAGGTAGGAGAGTTCCTTGCCTTCTTTTATGGTTTATTTCTAGTTTGATGCCTTCATGATCAGAGAAGATGGTTGGTATGATTTTAATCTTGGTGTATCTGTTGATGTTTGTCTTATGTCCCAGTATGTGATCGATCCTGGAGAATGATCCATGCGCGCTTGAGAAAAATGTATACTCAGATTTTTTTGGGTTTAATGTTCTATAGATGTCTGTTAAGCCCATGAGCTCTAGATCTTTATTTAGAGCTTTAGTGTCCTTAGTTATTTTTTGTCTTGTTGATCTATCCATTGTTGATAGTGGTGTGTTGAAGTCTCCTACAACATATGTGTTTTCTCTGATGTCTGTTTTCAGAGATGATAATAGTTGTCTGATGTATTTTGGTGCCCCTTCATTTGGTGAGTATATGTTAATGAGTGTTGTTTCTTCTTGAGGTATTGTCCCCTTGATCATAATGTAGTGACCATCTGGGTCTCTTTTTATTTTTTTTGAGTTTGAAATCTGTTTTATCTGATATAAGCATAGCTGTTCCTGCCTTCTTTTTTGGTCCATTTGCTTGTAGGATTGTTTTCCATCCTTTTACTTTCAGTCTATTTTTATCTTTTGTAGTTAAGTGAGTTTCCTGGAGACAGCCAAAGGTTGGATTTTGCTTCTTAATCCAGCCTGCAACTCTGTGTCTTTTTATTGAAGTGTTTAGTCCGTTTACATTTAGGGTTAATATTGATATGTTAGCGTCTGTATTTGCCATTTTTTTGTCCTTTCTCTAGTTTTGTTTTGTTTTATTTATTTGCTTATTTGTTTATTTGTTTATTTATTTATTTGTCTTGTTTCATTCTTATTCATCCCTCAGTTGTT